TAAAAGTAATGAACCGAGTGAGTTTTCTAGAGAGAATAATGTCAAAACAAGGTCTGAAAGGTGAATAATAATGTCTAGGTCGAAATTCTGATGTTAAAATCCCAACCTCGAAAATCGCGCCGGGTAACTCGCGAGTCGCGACTTAAGTCGCGAGTCGCGACTTACATTTTTGCCGAGTCGCGAGTCGCGACTTCTCGCGACTCGCGCGTCTTCGAAAAATATTTAAATTTCTGGGGAAATTCGCGACCCGACTCGCGAGTCGCGACTTATCTCGCGAGTCGCGACTTTATGGCAACGAATCTGGTTCTTCCTCTGAAAATCTCACGAGTCGCGATTGACTCGCGAGTCGCGACATAAGTCGCGAGTCGCGACACGACTCGCGAGTCGCGAGAAAAACTGGCCTTCTGTTACGATCATCTTTCTGGTCCCTCTTTCAGCCACCCGGTTTCGGTAACTTGGTATCCCGGATATCACGGTCTCGGCCCCAATAGTCTATCCCTCGATCATCACATCCTAATTCCTGAAAACACGAACACAAGGGAAAACGAAGCAAAGACAACAAAAATACACAAAAACGACACAAAAGACAGAGAACACAAAGAGCACAGAATTCGACCAAATAAACTACGAAAGTCCTATAAGTGGGGAAAAATAAAGAGAAAATAAAGCGAAAATAAAGACACAAAAATGGGACAAACAAAAGTTTGGGTGTATTTCATGAAGCATAAATCTGAAGTTTTTGCTAAATTCAAGCTATGGAAGGCTGAGGTGGAGAACCAGACTGGTAGGAAAATCAAGTACTTAAGGTCTGATAATGGTACAGAGTACACCGATTCACAGTTCCAGAAGTTTTGTGAGGAGCATGGGATGCAAAGGCATTTTACAGTGTGTAAAACACCACAACAGAATGGTGTTTTTGAGAGGATGAATCGGACACTGGCTGAGAGGGCGAGGTGTTTAAGACTGAATGCGGGTTTGCCAAAGAGTTTCTGGGCTGAGGCTGTAAGTATGGCTTGTTATTTAATTAACAGATCACCACATGCATCTCTGGATGGCAAAGTTGCAGAAGAAGTATGGACAGATAATGATGTTAGTTTTGATCATTTGAAGAATTTTGGCTGTCCTGCTTATGTTCATATTCCTGCTGATGAGAGGTCAAAACTTGATGCTAAATCAAAGAAGTGCACTTTTCTGGGCTAAAAGAAAGGTGTGAAGGGATACAAGTTTTGGGATCCAGTTAAGAAGAAGACGATGATTAGTAGAGATGCAGTGTTTGATGAACAGTCTATGTTGGGATCAGATGCGGATAAAGTACAGGTGGAGTTGGAACATGTTCTAGCAGTTCTTGATAAGGGAGAGAGTTCGAGTTCTGCACCTGATGATGTTGATCATGATGTTTCTGGCCCAACTGATGTGCCAGAGAGCTACAAGTTAGCTCGGGATAGAGTGAGGCGTACCAATATACAAGCTCCGGTCAGGTTTGGTTATGAGGATATGGTTGCATTTGCTCTTACGATCACTAGTGTGGATCCTTGTACTTTCCAGGAGGTTGTTTCTTGTGAGAATAATGATAGATGGAAGGCTGCCATGGAAGAAGAGATGAATTCTGTACACAAGAATCAGACATGGGAGTTGGATGTTCTTCCCGAAGGGAAGAGAGCTATTGGTTGTAGGTGGATTTACACAAGGAAGTCATCGGTAACAGAAAAAAGAGGGGAAAGGTTCAAGGCTCGATTGGTGGCTAAAGGATACTCACAGCAAAAGGGTATTGACTATGATGAGACATTTTCCCCTGTGGTTAGACATACCTCGATCAGGGTTGTACTTGCATTGGTGGCTAGTTGGGATTTGCATTTGGAGCAGATGGATGTGAAGACTGCTTTCTTGCATGGTGATCTCGCAGAGCCTATTTACATGCAGCAGCCAGAGGGCTTCGTTCAACCAGGGAAGAAGCATTTATTTTGCAGGTTGAAGAAATCCTTGTATGGCTTGAAGCAAGCATCGCGGCAGTGGAATATACGGTTTGGTTCGTATATGGTGAAGATTGGCTACAAGCGTTCTGATTTTGATTGTTGTGTTTACACTAAGAGCCTTGGTGATGGTTCTATGATTTTTCTGCTACTTTATGTTGATGACATGCTTATTGCTGCCAAGAATATGCGTGATATTATTGATCTGAAAAGCCTTTTGAGTCAGGAATTTGAGATGAAGGATTTGGGGGCTGCGAAGAAGATTCTTGGGATGGAGATTCACAGGGATAGAGGATCAAAGAAGCTGTGGTTATCTCAGAAGGGTTATGTGGAGAAGGTGCTACAGAGGTTTGGGATGAATGAAGCAAAACCGGTGAGCACTCCATTAGCAAACCACTTCAAGCTTTCTGTTGATCAGTGTCCCAAGTCGGACAAGGAGACTCAGGATATGGTGGAGATACCTTATGCCAGTGCTGTTGGATGTCTGATGTATGCCATGGTATGTACTCGTCCTGATTTAGCTCATGTTGTTGGTAAAGTTTGCAAGTATATGTCTAGGCCGGGTAAACAGCATTGGGAGGCAGTCAAATGGATTTTCAGATATTTGAAAGGTACTGCGGGACATGGTATTGTGTTTGGAGATCAGCGGTTGGATCCTTTGGTTGTAGGATATGTGGATTCTGATTATGCTGGGGACTTGGATAATAGGAGATCTACCACTGGGTATGTCTTTACTTTTAGTGGAGGGCCTATTTGTTGGAGGTCGAATACTCAGCCTATAGTTGTTCTATCTACAACTGAAGCTGAGTATATTGCTTTGGCTAAAGCGGCAAAGGAAGCAGTGTGGCTTGCTGGATTGGTTAGAGAGTTGGGTATTCAGCAAGGTGGAGTTCTAGTACATTGTGATAGTCAGAGTGCCATTCATTTGGCTAAGAATCAGATATATCATGCTAGGACGAAGCATATTGATGTGAGGTTCCACAAGATTAGTGAATGGATTGCTTCTGGTGATATTCAGTTGGAGAAAGTTCATACTGAAGAGAATGTTGCTGATATGTTGACTAAGACTGTTACATTTGACAAATTCAAGCATTGCTTGGATTTGTTGAATGTTTCTGCATGCTATAGTTGCATTGTACCCCCGGCCTGCTTGGTGTGTCTCGCAGAGGTGCTCGCTATTGTGTTCTCCTAAGAAGGTGATATATTCGCCAAGGTGGAGATTTGTTGGTATGGCTCATATATTGACAAAGGAAGAGGGCAGGCTGATGCCTGCGAGCGTAACGGAGCGAACGTAGCGAGGGAAGCGGAGCGACCGAGCGAAATGAGCGGAGTGGTACAGAGTATTTAAGTAAATTTATACCTTGTAGGGTTTTAGCATAAATACATGGTGTATTGATGTATTTGATACGATTGAGATTAATAAAAGATCCCTCAGCCGCCGTGGACGTAGGCACATTGCCGAACCACGTAAATCTTGTGTTGTTTACTTTTCTCTTTTTTAATTCGTATGCCATATTGTCATCTTCCCTCAACAATATATGTATTAATTATTTACATACCAACTACATTTATATTTCACTAATTCAATATAAATAACATTATCTTTTAATACAAATATAATTAATATTTGTGAGTTAAAATGATAAAGAATATAGTCTAATTGATCTAAAATTTTAATTGACTAACTTGTTGGTCAAAATATTTTTGACAAATTTGTGAGTTAGCAAGAATTTGGGGAAAACAAAAATGTGTCCAAAATGTTTATTATTATTATTTATTTTTATTTTTTTACTTGAAGACTTCAATTCCTCGTAAGGCTGTCAAGATTGTATATTTGCCAAAACAAAATTTGGGAAAACAATTGTTATTTTATAGGATGCCAAATATGATGGAAATTGAAAGTAATTTATTTATAGTTATTTCATGTCTAGTTCGGAATCAAATAAAAAACGTTGATTTTTATTCAAACCAAAGTACAAAGTACAAAGCATGAAATAATGTCAAATGAAATTTCGAAATATGTGATATGTCACTTGAACTCATAACGTTTTGAATTAATATATAAGAGAGATTAAATATTTTTTTTCCATTTTTAGTCTAATATTAACTAATGAAGTTGCCTTAATCACTAATAAGTACTTTTAAGTTTATATAGTCTTTCTCAAGTGCAAATTAACGTCTAAACATCGATTTATCGGTGGTCTAAACATCGATTTATCGGTGAATATTAGTCTACCATTGTGGGCACTGTCCACATAGGTTTCTCAACACACTACATGCACGTGTTTGTGTGTGTAATCCAACGGATTAAATATCGCCCACCAGTAGAGTTGAACTGGACGAGATATCCACACCAATAGAGTCAAATTAGCCCGATGTCTCGTCCAAATAGGTTTCTCGACTGTCAGATCAATATACTAGCTACATATTGGGTTTGTGTGTGCGCGTGTAATCCGACGGCTTGAAAATCGCCCACACCAATAGAGTCGAGTTATCCCGATTTTTCATCCAAAACTTTTGCTTTCCCAAAACCACCTTCCAAATATGAAATACATAGAGAAGGAAAAAGCAAAAA